TTTCTTGTAAAAATGTCGGTTGTAATTTTCTTTTTCTGGTCTGTGGGTTATTATCATGGTCAGGTACAATTCTAACTATAGTTCCTGATTCGATTATATTATTTGCCATTTTTTTCTGTGAACGTTTCCTTGTTGGCAAAGCTTCTTGTAATATTTTCCTAGTATAGAATTTACAGACTAAAAAAAAAAAAATTAATTTATACTACTTAACTTTATGCTATCTAGCTCTAAATATAACCTCTTGAACTTGCGATACTTATAGTATATGTTGATCTACAACTATCTCGGGATCATTTTTATTTGCTTCGTTTGTTTCGTCTGCTTCTCCTGCTTCATTTGCTTTATCTGCTTTATCCACTTCATCTGCTTCATCCACTTTATCTGTCTCATCTGCTTTATCTATTTCATCCACTTTATCCACTTCATCCATTTTATCTATTTTATCTGCTTCTAAACTATCTACATCAATTTCATCGATTTTATTGCCTTGATTAGTATCAGGTGTTTCATATACGCAGTGTATCTTCTAGCCAAACATAACTTTATAAGACATACGTCTATGAGCCGTATGCACAGTTGAATAATATCACATTACGAAAGCGTCTAATATGTCGACCCAATTTTTTTTTTTGAAGTTGTTATTCTTATCCCACAGCAATTTTGTAAAACCACGACCAATAGTTTGGTTAAATCTTTTTACTTGTTCTTGCGACTGGGGTGCCTGGGGCGCCCATGTTTAATTTTTATATTAAGAGCTTCACAAACTTGCTTTATGATCCCTTTGAACTCTTTACCATTATCACTTTGGAGAATTACTGGTGGGCCAAAAATTCTAAAAACATCTTTAACTAGATGCACAGCAACCATGTCTGCTTCTTTGTTTTTCATAGAAATCGCAATAAGATATTTCAAAAATGTACAAGCACAGGTAAGTAATCACGCAAACCCATAATTAACATTTGTAAAATCATGCAAGTCAATTAAGTCAATTTGGATATGCTACCATGGTGCTACAGAAATAACCAATTTCATATCAGTTTTCTCTTTAATAGAAGAGTTAATGGCGCAAACTGAATATTTATTAATATAAGCTTGAACCTCGGTTTGTGTAATGCCAATGTGTTTTTCTGAAAGAGCAGAAAATGGTTTGATAACTTCGATGATTAGATTGGTTATGAAACTTTTTAACAATAAGTCACGCAGCTCTACATTATATTTTGGTACCACATGACATTTATCAGATAATATTTCACCATTTTTAAAAACAGCAGAAAAATATAAAATCTCATTTTTATCTAACTCGAATTTGTTACAATGCCATTCAAATTTACATTTCGCCGCTGGGTCATAGATAGTTTTAGGTATTTTTTTTGATTGGAGATATTCGACAATATCTTTATATTCGGTTGGAGTTCCAGGAAGTTTTGGAATTGCCAGCATAATTGAAGTTTAAAAGGAAAAATTGACAGAAAATATAACTATTTATATTATGATCAATATGTACAAAAATAAACAAATCACATATTATGGGTTAGCACGTGCCTAATGATTAGGTTGGCATGTGTCTGATAGTTAGGGTAGAATTAGGGCGTTAGGGTAGGATTAGCGCGTTAGGGTTAGGATTAGCATGTTAGGTTTAGGATATAGTCAAATTTATCTTTGTTCCTTATAACAACTAAAAATGCAACCCAGTGGTACCTTCTCAACACATTCAGAACAAAAATCAAAGATAAGCTGCTAATCTTTTTTTTTTTTTAACACTTACAGATTCAGACACTCTGAAATTAAAATACAAAATTAAGAAAACTAAAAAACTATAAATGATAAAATATTAATATCAAATTACTTACTTTTTTTTTTTGGTACTTGAATTAATGCATTCAAGTTTCTATAATAGGTACAAAGTAAATATGCTATTGTAAAAACTAAGGAACAGCATAACTTAAAGCAAATTATTGGCTTTTTTTTTAAAATCAAATCATGAATTGAGCTTTCTGTAATAAGTTCAAATATGGTTATTAAAACTAAACAGAATCATGAGAACTAACAATTAAAAAACAAACTAACCTTTTTGCTTGCACCTAGATTTCTCATTTCTTGACACTTTTGAAATTTGTGTTTTTTAGATTACTTTAATAAATTTAAGGTTAAGTATACAACTATGAAAACTAAAAAAAACTACGAAAGCTAATAGTCAAGATACAAACTTTTTTTTTTTAATGCTTGGTATTTGAATTCTCTATGTACAGGTATTCTGTAATAACAAGTTCAAAATAATTACACAGACATATAAACATGAAAGCCAATAGTCAAAAAAAATACTTTTTTTTTTTTATATGCTTGGCACCTGCATTCAAACACTTTGTAATAAATTCAGGTAAGTTGCAGCTATTAAAATTATAAGAACCACGAAAGCTAATAGTCAAAAATGCATACTTTTTTTTTTTAATGCTTGGTACTTGAATTCTTTACAGGATTTCTATAGCAATAAGCTCAAGATAAGCACATGGTTATGAAAATTAAAAAAACTACGAAACTAATAGTCAAAATACTTTTTTTTTTTTTATGTACTTGACATGCATTTAGATACTCTGTAATAAATCTAGGTAAGTATATAGCTATGAAAACTAAAAGTATCATGAAAGCTAATAATTAAGATACAACCTCTTTTTTTTTAAAAAATGCTTGGCACTTGAATTCTCCACGTATAGGCATTCTGAAGTAACAAGCTCAAGATAATTACACAGATATGTAAACTAAAAGAGCTACAAAAGCCAATAGTCAAAATATATACTTTTTTTTGTTTTTACATACTTGGTACCTACATTCAAGCACTGTAATAAATTCAGATAAGTTGCAACTATTAACTACAAAAGCTAATAGTCAAAAATGTATACTTTTTTTTTTAATGCTTGGTACTTGAATTCCTTATAGGCTTTCTATAGCACTAAGCTCAAGATAAATACACAGTTATAAAAATTAAAAGAACCATGAAACTAATGATCAAAATACTTTTTTTTTTTTTATATGTGCTTGACACTTGCATTCAGATACACTGTAATAAATCTAGGTAAGTATACAGCTATGAAAACTAAAAGAATTACGAAAGCTAATAATCAAGATAAAACCTTTTTTTTTAAATGTTTGGCACTTGAATTCCTCACATACAGGCATTCTGTAGTAATAAGCTCGAGATAAATACATGGTTATAAAAATTAAAAGAACCACGAAAACTAATAGTCGAAATACATACTTTTTTTTATATATTCAGATACTCTGTAATAAACTCAGGTAAGTATGCAGCTATTAAAACTAAAAGAACTATGAAAGCTAATAGTCAAAAATATAAACTTTTTTTTTTTTTTTAATGCTTGGCACTTGAATTCTTCACGTACAGATTTTTGCAGTGATAAGCTCAAGATAAGTACATTGTTACAAAACTAAAAGAACCACAAAACTAATAGTCAAAATATATACTTTTTTTTAAGGCATTCTGCAATAAAACCAGATAAGTATACAGCTATAAAAGCTAATAGTCAAATAACAAGCCTTTTTTTTTATACTTGGTACTTGAATTCTCTACATACAAACATTCTGTAGTAATAAGCCCAAGAAAAGTACACAGATATGAAATCTAAAAAAAACCATAAAAGCTAATAGCAAAATCTATATCTTTTTTTTTTTTTTTTTTTATTGCTTGGTACTTGAATTTCTCATAGACTTTCTATAATAATAAGCTCAAGATAAGTACATGGTTATGAATAGTAATGTAAATTGAATTCGCGCAGTAGGTGCAGCATTAGGGTTGTTAATGGGGCGGGTTGGGGTGGGTTGGG